TCGGAGTCTCTGATGGAGGGGGACCCACTGATGCTATCAAACACCTTCAGGTGATTAAGCTTTTAAAGCCGGAGATCCCTAAGCCTACATACCACCCCTTGATATTGCCCAAATCCCAGCTTCCTGATTTAGATGCCAATACATTAGATATCCTAGAAACTACCTTTTCTTTACTTAACAGTTCCAATCCTACCCTTGCTGGTGATTGCTGGCTCTGCATGACGGCAGGTGCAGTCATGCCATTGGCGGTTCCCATCAATTATACCATTGATGATGACAACACATGTCAATCTGGGCTACCCTTTAAGGTGCAGCCTCTAGGTGGTTTTATGTCATGCCTTCTGGGCATGATGCAAAATAATACCTATGATGTTGATGTTGGAGTCTCTTCCTTTGGAAACTGCTCATTAGTAAAGAATTACTCCTCACCTACTCCGCCCATTTGTCCCCCTAATGGTACAGTCTTTATGTGTGGTGGAAATTTAGCTTTTCCCAGGCTCCCAGCAAATTGGACTGGTGGTTGCGTTCTGGCATTACTGCTTCCTGATATCACAATTATCTCAGGAGATGAACCCCTACCCATTCCTAGCCTAGACATCTTAGTTAGAAGACACAAGAGAGCTGTGCAGGCCTTACCACTCCTTGTTGGCCTTGGAATAACTGCTGCTGTGGGTACAGGCACGGCGGGATTGGGTACGGCTATACATTCTTACCGCCGCCTATCTCAACAGCTTATAGATGATGTGCAAACCCTGTCGGGAACCATTAAAGACCTACAAGACCAGATAGACTCCCTAGCAGAAGTAGTTCTTCAGAACAGGCGGGGTTTAGACTTGCTTACTGCCAATCAAGGGGGAATTTGTTTAGCCCTTGGGGAGAGGTGCTGTTTTTATGCTAACAAGTCTGGCATAGTTCGCACAAAAATTAAACAACTCCAAGAAGACCTAGAAAAAAGGAGGAAGGAATTATTTGAGAACCCTCTCTGGACTGGACTTAAAGGATTTTTGCCTTATCTTCTTCCCTTATTGGGACCATTGTTAGGCCTCCTTCTAGTAGTGGCAATAAGACCCTGCATTGTAAATAAGATAGTACAATTCATTAAGGATCAAATTAATATCTTAGCCTCTAAGCCGATACAGGTTCACTATCAACGCTTGAAGATGGATGATCGCCCCTCTGAGATATACTTCAGACCTATCCGAAGATGAGTGTCCTCCTTAAAAGAAGAACTCCTGCCATATCTTTTCTCTATGCATACCTCTCCCTCTTGCCTTCCTGTACTAGGATCTTTGCTGTCTAATCTCTCGGTCCAATCACATCTGCCATTCGGCGGTGACGGTCGTGGGTCCCGTAGGTGGAGACGGTTAAGCGTTCACCGCAATAATGTCTTGATAGGTCATAACACCTTGAGCTGATCTTGTAGTACCCAGTGACGGGCAACTTTCACGCTTGCTGTGCGACCTAAGCCAGGGAATCGGGGCCTTCCCAGAGACGGGTAAGCATCGCAAGGGCTGTGAACGACCTAAGACAGGGGCTACTTGATTCCCACTGGCATGCAAAAAACAAAAGAGGGGGACTTGTTGGCAGCAGGTCCACCCTGGCCCCTGGAGCCCTACCTCCACTAGTTTGTTCTGCATGCCAGTGTGGCCAGCTCACAAGGCCATGGCGAACTTGCGGTTTTTCTGTTCCTGCTTGTCCGTCTGAGACATATGTGTCCCACGGGAATGCCTTGACCTTTTCTGGTCTGATGGACTTCTTGTTAAGGGGGGTTTCGGTACCTGACAATAATAGATGTTGAAACTAAATTTCTCCCCCCTCCCTCCTGCTTTTGGGTAGTTTTCCACTTCTGCTGCTTGGGGTATAAAAAAAGGTGTGTTAGCAATAAAGGGTATTGACTCCTGGATGAAGAACCTTGGTGTCCTGTGTGTCTTTTAACCTCGCCGTCCCTCGCCGGACTCGGCTCCCTTGGCCGGACGCGGCAGCACAGGTGATGGAGTGACCTCATGCCTTGGTCAGGAGAAAGGGGCGAGGCCAGGCAGAGGGGAGCCCTGCCTACTTGCATCCAGACGGGGTCACCTCTGAGGACGCAGCATGGACGTCACCCACCCCTTCTTCCCACACCTGGGGATCTGTCCTTCCTAAAGGTTCTTCTGCTGTGGCTGCGTGATCTCAAGGTCACATGCTTCTACAAATTTCAAGTATCCAGATCCACCAATGTGATGAGAGGGAACCGTGAGGGTCCGTTTTTGCCTGGGAATTACAAGTCGTTACAGCTGAGAGTTTTAATCGAGGCAGACCCTGAGGGATTGCTTGACCCCTCGGAGACTCAGTGTCCTCCTCTGTAAAACTGGGGTAAACAGAGTGCCCCCCTAAGGCAAGTTAAAAAGAAAAGCTGGGCACAGTGGTGTGCACCTATAATTCTACCAGCTCAGGAGGCTGAGGCAGAAGGATGGTAAGTTTGAGGCCAGCCTCAGCAATTTGGCAAGAGCTTTTTCAAAATTAAAAAAAAAAAGTGGGGTATTGGGGCTCTAGGTCAGTGGTGGAACACCCTGGGTTCAATCCCCAGCACCAGGAAGATAAAAAGAGGACAAATGAGATTGAGAAACAAAGTGGGACCCCTGAGGGCCTTGCCAGAGTTCACACTGCTGTCCCCCACCTGCTAGTGACACCTGTTCCCATACTTCTCCCCAATAACCCCTAGGGCCCTCCCAGGTGCCCAGAGGTATAAATCTCAGCCCCAGAGATAAGCAGACTCCCCAGATTGCTAGTCAGCAGGACGTAGCCCAGAAAAGCTCGACCCACATTCCTTCCCACCCAGGGGTCCCATTCCCACTCACTGTCACGACCATCATCCCCATTTTTTTCAACTTTTTTTTTAGTTGCAAGTGAACACATACCTTTATCTTTATGTGGTGCTGAGGATAGAAGCCGGTGCCTCACAAATGCGAGGCAAGTGCTCTACCGCTGAGCTACAACTGCAGACCCCCTTCATCCCCATTTTAAAGACGGACACACTGAGACCCAATGGTGCATGTCTACAATCCCAGCTACTAGGGAGGCTGAGGCAGGAGGATCTCGAGTTCAAAGCCAGCCTGGGCAACTCAGCGAGACCCTGTCTCAAATACAATTCTCAAAGGACTGGATGTAGCTCTGGGGAAAGTGCTTGAGCTCGTGAGGCCCTGGGTTCAAGCCCTAGAACTACAAAAACATTTTTGGACAAGTGAGGTGGAGAGCAGCCCCTCCTCTCACCACACATTCCATGCCAGGGAACTTCTATGTGTCCAGGCACCCTGCCCCCAGGACCTACGACCTTCCAGCTGTGCCCACCCACACCCAGGAAAAGTGCAGACCATGGCCGCAGGATGACCAGCACGTTACCGGAAATATCAAAAACAGAGGAAACAGCCGAAAAGTCCATTCTCAGGGACATAGATGGAGGGAAAACGAACCCGAAACCGATTCAAATTCCAGCACACGGGAGAGAAGAGCAGAAGAGCAGACCACAGCTCTGTGCGCACACGGACCAGTGTGGAGCCCAAAACCCAGAGCAAAAAAAACAAATGAACCATCTGAGAACCCCTCCGTACAGAGGGTCAAAGAGCCCCACACACCAGGAAAAAGAACTCATGGCTTTGTAGGGAAACATTCCTCATTTTTTCCTTTTTTTTTTTTCTTTCAGGCAAATGATTGAATGTGTAGTTTCAAATTTCACCTGGAGAAGTATGTGGGGCGAGGAAAAACACAGGGAGATCATTGTTTGAAAATTCAACTAACACGTTGTTTAAAAGTTAAAGTTCCCAATGTTTCTGGGATTTTCAACCACTCTACTGTAAACTCTCTCTCTCTCTCTCTCTCTCTCTCTCTCTCTCTCTCTCTCTCTCTCTCTCTCTCTCCCCACCGTATTGTCTCAAGCTCTCCTCTCTGTATCTAAGAGTAACTATTAGAACATCTGGAGACATGGAGGAGCTATTGGTCTGAATCGCATCCTGGTCTTTAATGGAAAACCCAGAGAAATCCCGGGAAGGGCTGCAGTTTGGTAGACAGTAGGGTTAATGGCAAGGTCAGCGGCACCGAAGTTTTCAGTTACACGAACCTACCAGGATAACAGAGGCGCTAGGGGTGGGGAAGCTTGGCAAGTCTTTGTGCGATCTTGGCAGACTTTTTGTAAATCTCAGACTAGTCTCAAATAAAAAGTGTATTTTTAAAATATCTGGAAGGTTCCACCCAAAGTGAGCAACAGAAGGTCTGGGGAAGAGGAAAGGACCCGGGGGTGGGGGTGGGGTTGCCCGGGGTCCTCAGTCTCGTCTGCAACAGGATGAATATTGGTTGTGGGTCAAATGGATCCTGCGCTCCCGTGCGCAATTCAAACTAATGTTTTAAATATTTTATAAGAAGACCTAGCTCCCTGAACCCGAGGTGTCATAGTTCGACTTTTCCCCCTAAATTACATTCCCCGAGGAACAGAAAACCCTCTGGGACGGAGGCTGAGACAGTGGCCCTGGTTCTTCTCGGCTCAGGGGACGGGGACCTCTAACGGGCCTCGGCTTCTCGTCTGGCAGAAGTTAATACGGAGCCTAGGGACCCCTGCTCTTCCGAGCGGGAATCCGGCAGGAGTGGTCCCAGGGCGCCACGAGCAGGTCCCCCACGGCCTCCACCCTCCAGCCTCCGGGCAGGGGCTCCCGCCCGGGGTGGGTGGGCACCGGGCCGAGGCCGAGGCTGGGGGCGCGAGAGGGCCTCTTCCACCCGGTCCCCAGGCTGTCCCCGCACCTCTCCATCCACGCCCGGCCTCGCCGAAGCCCTCCCCAGGTCCCGCCGTTGCGCCCACAGACCGCGACTTCCCGCGGCGGGATCGGCCCACGGGACCCCACTGCGGTCCCCGCGGCCCCCGAGAGCCTCCGGCAGGGGCAGGGACAGCGGCCGGGCCCTCCCCGGTGGAGGTCCGCGCGGGCCCCTCGCGGGCCCTGGGACCGGCGCGTCCGGCGGGGGCTGGGGCCACTCACCGCGTGCGGCGGCGGGTCAGCAGCAGCAGCAGCAGCAGCGCGGCCAGGAGGCCGAGGAGCGCGGCCCAGGACATGGCAGCGGCGGGCGCGGTCCCTCCAGGTAGGCAGCGCACGGCGGCCCGCGGTCCCTAGACCCCGCCGCCGCCCCGCCCCAGCGCCGCCGCCCGCGGACGGCCCCCGCCCCCGCCCGGGGCCACGTGGAGGGGACGGCGGGCGGAGGGGGCGCGGGCGGAGGAGCGGGCGGGAGCGACCCGGCGAGGGCGGCGCGAGGGGCGATGGAATGCCTGGGGGAGGGGCGGGGGAGGGACCCGCGGGCCCAGGCCGAGGGGGAAGCCGGGGACAGGCGGGCTTTCCCACCGCCGCGGCTGAAGCCCGTCCGGCTCCCGAGCCTCGCTCCCGGTCCCAGGCGCTGAGTTTCCCCCCGTCGGGCTGGGCTGCGAGGCTGGACTCCAGCGCTCCTGCTCCTCGGTGTATTGTCGTCGGGAACTCCAGCCCGAGAGCAGGAGAGCCGCCCAGCAGGTCGTCGCCGCCGTGCGGGGCAGTCCGCGGGGCAGTCCGTGCAGAGCACCGACCTGTTCCCGAGCTTTTAGGGCCTCAGGATGCCGTGGCCGCTGGTGCCCAGGGTGCCAGCCCCCGGGCCTGTGTCTCTGCAAGGGACCTCCCCGGGTGCCGAGAGGACCTGGGCTTCCCGTTTGCAGGGAGCAAACCTGGGCCTGGCTGCAGGTTGGCTCCCCAGAAGCTCCCGCTGTCCCCCTTCCCATTTCCACCCCGGGGAGCCTGGAGCAGGTAGCTTAGGGCAGTCCAGCTGCCAGGTAGAGAAGTACTTTCCGCAGAGGGTTGTGAGGAATTGACCACCTTGTCACTAAAAAGGAAGTACCAACTGCCCAGGGCCCGGTGCAGGTAAGTTCCGTGAAAAGATGGGCCAAGGTGGTCTGGCTGGGTCCTGTGCCTCCCTGCTGGTTCAGGCAAGGTTTGGGCAAGTTTGGTCTCCAGCGTCACCCTCATCTCCCTACAGTCCAGGCTCCCCACAGAAGTCAGAAGATCTCACCAGAAACTTGGTCACCACAGTCCCCATTCCTGCTCACAATGGCACTCCTCACCAGGCAAGGCCACAATCTTTACAAGGCCCCCCAAGGACCCCCAGATCCTCCCAGCCCACCTGCTCCTCCCCCGCTCCAGCCCTGCTCTCCCTTCCCACTCTGCAGCAGTCACACTGATCTCCCTGTCCCTCCCAGAGGTGCCAGCTGCCTTGGCACCTGCTGTTCCCTCGCCCAGAAGCTCTCCCCAGGGAGATGCACGCCTCACTCTTTTTGTCATGCCCCCCCACGTCGTCTCTGCTCATGACCGTGGCCCTAAAGCAGTCACCATCACTCTGCTGCTTTAACCCGTTGGACCAGGGTTGGGGTGACACCTGTGTGTCCCACTATCCTGCTGGCGATTCGTTTACTAGACGTCTTGATTTCGGCCGTCAGGGAGCCAGGTGAGCTTCACGTGGCCTCAGCAGACCCAGAACAGAAGGATTTTCCACTTGTCTGAGGAGAAAGCCAACAACTCCAAGAAGGCTGCCTGGGGCCAGGAGGGTCTTCCAAACCTGCGGCCTCCCTCAGTGGGCTTCACGGCGACTCAGCCAGCGCCCGGCCAGGGGACCTGGGCAGTCTGCTCCATCTCTCAGCTGGGGCTCCTGGCTGATTTGATGGGGAAGAGAACCTCATGGGGTCAAGGTGGAGCAGTGACCTGATCCAGGTGACACACCTGTCCAAGAGCCAGGTGTGGGTAAACATGGCCAGGGTCCTGTCTCAGTAGGAAGAACAGTACCTTCCGCACAGGGCTGAGGGGGTGTTAAATGAGAGAGAATGATTCACCCAGCACAGGGCCGGGCACACTGTGGGTGACTGAAGAAGGTCAGCTCTTCGACGGCCACCCCGGCTCAGTCAGTCCCCACCATCAGTCTCCCTGGATACCCTCTTCCCACCTCCACTTGGGGCAAACTCCCTGGGAAGCAACCCGAGCTGCTCACACCAGAGAGAGAAGGCTGTGCTGGAGCCTCCTGCCCCTCACCCTCAGAACCCGACTGGTTCAGAGCGGGCATTAGGAAGGCCTCCTGGCTGTCCCCAGAGAGTGGACCACAGTTGGGCTGCGCCAGTCCAAGGGTACCCTGTGTGCCAGGGATTGGTCCAGAGGTGGACACCTTCCGGAAATATGTGTAAGTTTCTGGAAAATGTTTCTATTTGCCTCCTCTGGACGTTGGGGATCATTGTGAAAGGACAAGATGGGGGCGTGGAAGGCCAGGGATGTTGCAAAGTTCCAAACTGGAGCTGCAGAACCGCCACCCCTGGAAGCCCCACCCAGACTTGTTCCATGAGATGATCTAAGGTCGGCTCATCGTGAGTCAGACTCTCTCTTCCATTCCTAAGACGACCTCTGTGATGGCCGTAGGGAGGACTGAGCTAATCGGGCATCCAAAGCACCTTGTGCAGGACTCGCCCTGGTAAGAACTCAGAGCAGGGAAACTCAGATCTGGCTGTGCCTTCTGGCGAGGACAGGCGGCCCTGAAAAGCAGCCAGAGTTCAAACTCCCCCTGAGGACTGGGAGGACCCTGCCGAGGCCTGGGCTGATGTGGCCTCAAGGGCAAAGAGGAGTGAAGGCTGCCCCAAAGGTCACCTGCTGGCCCTCCACAGAAGAACTGGAGTATAGGACCTGAGCGTCAAGTTCCCACCCCAGAGTCCCTCACATCACACACAATCCTGGGCAAGTCACTTCACCTCTCTCAGCCCTGACCTCCGCATCTGTGCCATGGGCACGTGGCTGGTGATCTCAGGGGTTGCCCACAAGGCTGACCTTGGCATCCAAGGCTTCATCTGGGAAGTGGAAGCCACAGGCTCGTCCACCTCCCAGGAAACTCTGCTGTGCCAAGCAGCAGGACCTTCTGCTGGACGAGTCCAGTGTGTCCAGATGTCTGCTGTCCCCAGAAATAAGACATCTGCGCAAGTGTCCCTTTCCACCCAGCCTCCGTCCGATGACTTAACGTGGCTGCCACAGGGTCAGGAGGACAGGGTCAGGACCCCGCCGTCGGAACATGGAGTGTGCCCGGAAGGGCCCCCTGGGCACCCTACACCCCGGCTTTCTGTCTCCTGGGCCTGTGTGTCTGCATCCTAACGACTAGGAACACATGGTATGGAGAAAGGAGGACATCGGGTGTGTCATCTTCTTCAGAGCTGACACCCACCCCGTCAGAGGGGGCAGTCTTCAGTGTGTGGTAACTGTAGCTCTCACTTGAGGAGGTGATTGTTAGGGTTTGGATAGGAGGTGTCCCCGGGCCCCTGTTAAAGGAGTGTGGAGGTGAAATGCCTCCATTATGAGTCTCGTGACCTGACTGGTCCATCCAAGTTTGAATGACCCCTCTGGATGGTGACTGTCAGCAGGTGGGATGTGACTGGAGGAGGTGGGTCCCTGGGGCCCTTCCCCTCTGCTTCCTCAATGCCATAAGGGACAGCTTTTCCCTGTGGGGCCAAGTGTTGTCCGTCTATGGACTGAGACTCTGAAACCATGAACCCCAAATAAATACATGTTTCCTTCTCTAAATTGTCCTTGTCAGGTGTTTTGCTCACAATGACACAAAAACTGACTAAAACAGTAATTAAGGTCATTTGAAACTCTTTTCCAGAAAATCTCATTTACTCCCCACAGGGATCCTATAAAATGGGTACTATCATTATTCCCAAACTGCAGATGGGGAAACCGAGGTCCAGAGAGGGTCAGTAACTTACGCAAGGTCACAGAGTACTTCCTCTGATCAGCCAGGGCATGGACTGCGAACACCTCTCTGGAAGCCCCTCTGCCCTTTTGGTTCTGGCAAATCTGTTATGGGGAGGGATGTTACCCTGGTCTTCTGAGTCACCAAGACAGGATGAGATGTGACATTTCTAGGAGGGAAATGAGGAGGGAGCCAGAGGAAGCTGAGAGAAAGAGATGGGAAAAAATGGAAAGAAAGGAGGTAGGGAAACGAGGCGGGAGAGGATGGGGGCGTCGCTCCAGCCCCGGAGCGGGAGGGGGCGTGGCTCCAGCCCAGGAGCGGGCAGAGTGACCGGCTTCCCGTCCCTGCACCCCTGGGCGAGAGCTGGGAGCAAACCCGGAAAAGCAGGGCCTCTGCCCACCCCAGGGTCCAGCTGTCAGTCAAGCTCCTGCACGGGACATCTGAGAGGGGCCTTCCCGTGGCGGCTGCAGCTGGAAGTGCGGTGACCTCTGAAACAAGAGCCGGAATCCCTGCTGCGGCTTCCTCCTGCTGGAGCGCAACTGGGTGGAGAGGAAACAGGGACCAAACCCGCAAAGTCTCTGTTGCTTTGTGCTTTTAAAGAGGGTGGCAAATTCAGTGCATCCACCAAGGATACGGACAGGGGGTAGAACAAAAGAGACTTCCTCCAAGCTGGAATGTGTCTGGTTTATCTCAAGCTAATATCAGTGCTCCCAGCAAGTATTTCCAAGCATGAAGCAAGCCAGTCATATGGGGAAGCGATAGGGAGGAGTGAGGACTGGAAAACCGGAACATGCTGTTCCTTACAAAAGGAAGCGGCCTTCACCGAGTTCCAGCCAACTGTATGCACACAGATATACAGGCCCAGCATGGCGAGACTCCAGGCTCAAGGGAAGCAAGAAACCACATCTCAAATGATTTTAAAACATGAATAGGCCAACTACACGCGTCTGATGATTGCCCTGAAATCTAGCTGTGCCAAGGACCCGTGTGCTGTGGAGCAACCCACAGTTCTCTGTAGGAGGAAAGCCCCCAGGGTGCCCCAGGACCCAAGAAAGAGGCAGGCAGATTTCAAACTGCAGAGTGCCATCTCTTGGGAGAGTTACCCACTGGGCGGCAGTGAGAACAGGTGGATCTGCACCGTCTGGGTCGAAGGGAGGGCTGTGTATTAGTTAAGATGAAAGTGACTTCATTCACACAGAATGGAGCTGGTCATCTGAAGCTAACATCAGCCGGGCGCATTACTGGCACCAGGGTGGATGACAGGTGTCCACATACCACTCTGATGGTTTTGTGCCGGGAAACTATTCAGGGAAAACCGACCTGGGGCAGTGACGGTGGTTAGGACTCAAGATGGTCACAGTCACGTCAAGCTGATCACAC